ATGTGTTAAGGCCTAGCACATGGCCTATCCTGAACATTCCACGTGCCCCTGAACAGAATGTGCAATCTGCTGTTCCTTAGTGTAGACGTCTGTTAGGTCTGGTTGATTTGTACTGTGTTGGTCTTCTAATAACTTGCTGATAGTATATCTAGTTGTCCCATCTGTTATCGAGAGGGGAGTTGGACGTCTCCAACTGTCCTTGTTGAATCCTCTATGTCTCTCTTCAGTTCTGTCAGTTTTTGCTGCATGTATTTTGAGGGCTGTTGATAGGTACATACGTTTTATTATATTTTTTTGATAGGTGAACTCACTATTATAAAATTCCATTGTTTGTCTTAGGTAACAACTTCTGTTTTAAAGTTTATTTTAATATTGATATACCCGCTCCGTGCTCTTTGGTTACTGTTTGCATGACATATTGTTTTCAATCCTTTTATTTTAAATCCATATGTGTCTTTGAACCTAAAGTGTGTCTCCTATAGACAGCATATAATTGGATCATGTTTTTAAAATCCATGCTGCCAATCCTTGCTTTTTATTGGGAGTGTTTAATGTATTTATATTTAATGTAATTACTGATAAAAACAGGATTTATGTCTACCATTTTTCTATTTGTTATCTATGTCTTTTTTGTGCCTCTATTCCTCCATTACTGTCTTTTTTTGTGTGCTAAATATTTTCTAGTTAAACATTTTAATTTTCCTGTTGTTTCTGTTGCTATATTTTAAAAGTTATTTTGTTAGTTTTTTGTCCTGGGGATAGTTAACATCTTAAAACAACCTGGTTTGGAGTTATACCAACCTAATTTCAATAGTATACAAAAATGGATCCTATATCGCTTCATTCCCTCCCCACCTCCTTTTGCTCTTATTGTCACATAAGTTACCTCTTTATACATTGTATGCCCATCAATATAGATTTATAATTATTGCTTTATGCAGTTGTCTTTCAAATTATATAGAAAAGAGTTACAATCAAAAACATATTTATATGTTTATGTCTTTTACAGTTACAAATATATTTATCTTTACTGGTGTTCTTGATTTCTTACTGTGACTTGAATTATTGTCTAGTTTCTAGTACCTGAAGAACTCTGTTGTAGAGTGGGTTTCTAAACAGATTTTCTTAGTTTTTGTTTATCTGGGAATGTCTTAATTTCTCCATTATATTATAGCTTACTGCATATAGAATTATTGCTTGATAGTCTTTCTTTCAGTATTTAGAATATGTCATCCTGCTGCTCTCTGGTCTCCATGCTTTCTGGTGGTAAATCAACTCTTAATCCTACTGAGGCCTCAGGCATAATGAATTGCTTCTCTTTTGCTGTTTTTAAGATTCTCTTTGTTTTTGGCTTTGATTATGATGTGTCTAAGTGGGAATCTCTTGGTTTTTTCCTATTTGGAGTTCTTTGAGCTACTCAAATGTATACATTGATTTTCATCAGATTTGGTAAGATTTTGGAAATCATTTCTTCAAATATACTTTCTGCCCTTTTCTCTTTCTTCTCTGTCCTGTTTATCATATGTTGGTATGCTTGATGGTGTCTGACATACCTGTAAGAATCTATTAATTTTCATCTTTATTCTTTTTTACTTATCTTCCTTACAATGGATACTTTCACTTGACCTATCTTCAAGTTTACTAATTGTTTATTCTGTGTGTTCACATCTGCCCTTGAGCCCCTTAGTGAATGTTTCGTTTCAGTTATTGTACTTTCCAATTCCAGAATTTCTAATTGGTTCATATTTATAATTTCTATCTCTTTATCAATATTATCTGGTGGAACATCATTCTCATACTTTAGTTCTTTAGACATGTTGTTTGTTCATTTTTTATTTTGAACATATTTAAAGTCTTTGTCTAGTGAGATCAATTTGGGGGCTCCTCAGAGGCAGTTTCTATTGATTTGCTTTGTTTTCATGTGTACATGCCATACTTTACATATCCTGCAGTTTCTTAGACAACTGGTCATTTTCAATAACATTGGGTTGTCGGAAAAGTCACGACGCATGTTTGCAACAGATGGCACTAGTTCATTTTTGGAAGTACTAGAGTCATTCGCATCTATGTTATTGCTATGTCATTTGACAGCTGACAGTTCTAGCTTCATTCTAAAAAAAATTGAGTGATTTGGTTGAGTTTTGGAGATTTTACAACAAGTTGAAGATGGAAGACCAATCTGTGCATTTTTGCCACATTTTACTGTTTTACTTCCATAAAGGGAAGAACTCGCATCAAGCTTGTGAAAAGTTGCATAAAGTTTACAATGACAATGCTCTACAAGAACATCAGTGCCAACGATGGTTCACAAAATTCCGTGCTGGTGATTTTGATCTCAACAACGCTCCTCGGACAGGGAGGCCCACCGAGGTTGATGACAACAAAATAAAGGCATTGATCGAGTCAAACCCACATCACATGAAATGAGAGATTGCAGAAACATTGAACATCCATCATTCAAGAGTTCACGGCCACCTGAAGAAGCTGGGATACGTAAGCAAGCTCATTATTTGGATTCCGCATAAGCTCAAAGAAGTTCATTTGATGGCGCATATAAACATCTGCAATATGCTCATTAAACATGAGGAAAATCCATTTTTTGTTTTTTGTTTTTTTTTTAAAGATTTTTATTGGGGAATTAGGGGGATAGGAACAGTGCTGGGGAATTGGGGGAAGGGGAACAGACAAGTTGCTGTCGTTTTTTGTTCTTCAATCTAGTTGTGGAGGATGTCGCTTCACTGGCCCAAGTTGGCACCATCATCGCGCTCTTCTCTGGCGAGGCAGATCAGTCGCCGGCTTCTGGACGACCGCTCACTGCGGCTGCTGGCCGCTCACGCTGGCTGCTGGCTGCACATGGTAGCCCATGACAACCCACTGCCACAGGGGCTGCAGCCTATGCCCTCGCCGGCGACTCCTGGCAGCCCAGCTCCAGGTTGAGCTGTTGTTCAGCATCTTAGCTGTAGAGGGCAGTGTCACTGGCCCTCATATGTGGGATCCGAACCGGGGCTCTCTGGCATCCCAAGTGAGTTCTTAACCATCGCGCCACTCGGCCGGCCCAACAATCCATTTTTTGAAGCGACTCATAACTGGTGGTGAGAAGTGGATTGTTTACAACAATATGGTGCGCAAACGGTCTTGGTCCCAACGTGAGGATTCGCCTCAAATGACATCAAAAACAGACATTCATCAGAGGAAGGTTATGCTCTCAGTGTGGTGGGATTTTTAAAGGTGTGTTTTTTGAGCTCCTACCAAGGAACCAAACAATCATCTCGAATGTGTACTGTCAACATTTGGACAGTTTGAACGAATCCATCATCCAGAAACGTCCAGGGCTTGTTAATAGTAAAGGAATTGTGTTCCTTCATGACAACACGAGACCACACAAGTTTGATCACCCGTCAAAAATTATTGGAGCTTGGATGGAATGTGTTGCCACACCCACCATACTCGCCTGACCTTGTGCTGTCAGACTTCCACTTGTTTCGCTCTATTCAAAGCTCCTTGCGTGGTATAACGTTCAATTCAGATGAGGCTATAAACCTGCACCTTGTTCAGTTTTTCACAAATAAAGACAAGTCCTTCTATGAGTGAGGAATTAGGAAGTTCACTGAAAGATGGCAAAAGGTTATTGAACAAAATGGGCAATATATCATTGATTGATCTTTGTTCTTTATATAAATAAATGACCTTTGAAAAACAGACAAAATACGTCATGACTTTTCCGACTACCCAATATAATGTGGCAACTTTGGACATCAGATCCCCCTTGCCCAGGGTTTTTAGTTGTTGCTGGTTATTGTTTTTTGTTCAGTGACTTCTGAAGTGCTTTTGTAAAGTCTGTTTTCTTATGTGTGGTCACTGAGTTCTCTGCTCAGTCAACTTAGTGGTCAGCTAATGATTGGACAGATTTTCTTAAAAACTTGGAACCAAAAATTCACCCCATTTTTGCAATGGTGTTCTATGTACATGTTGGGACATGCCTTCAACACTCAGCCAGGCAGTTGACAACCCTGTCTTAAACCTTCACTTCTTGCTTGCACAGACTATCAAAGTCAATCAGAGATGAGAGCTCAGGGCCTTCTCAGTTTTTTGTAAGCATGTGCAGTCCCATACATGCACATGGCTTTCTAAATTTTCAGGACTATGTCAGAGCTTTCAAAGCCACTGTGAACATCTCATTTCCTAGCTTTTCCTTTTAAGTTTCTTGGTTGGTCTATTGTTTGCCCCAATTGTTATTCAACACCCCCCTTCCCCCAAGCAGCTGTGAAGTTAAACATCTTCCTCTAATTGTTTTTAACAAATACCCTCAGGGAAAAGACTTGTGCATTGTGTGACATATGAGTCAAATAAAGTGAATCTTACAAATGGGATCTCCCAGGAAACTACCAGACAGGTCAAATAATAATTCTCTGAGAATGAGACTTTAAAGGAGCAACAACTATTCTGCCTCCTCCAGTGGCTGCTGAGCTGTTTGTTTTCAAGGCTACCATGAAGCTGGTGTAGGTGGGAATAAGGTAAGGCAAAGTGCCACAGTGCTCACTGTCCTTACTTAAATCTAGACATTTTTCTTGAATAGGAAAACTCTTTTAGGTTTGTATAAAACAACTGCTGAAAGCCTTTGGTCAGTTTCTAGAGTTCTGAAAATTTGATTCTGACTATTGTCAGTTTTCTTATTGCATTTATGGAGGAGAGAATTTTTGGAGGTCGTTTGCCATTTTTGCTGACATCCACTAGCATGTTCTTACTGCATGTGATAAAAAAGGAGTTGGGGATGCAAGTGATGATAGGAATTACCTGTCCCTGAGAGCATGAGGAGTGTCCCAGAGATCTGTGAGACCTATGACACCCCCAAATGCTTTTCCCTCCCATAATATAGACCAGCACGCAGATTGGGACATACTCTTCAAGCCAGCCTGTTCTAATCAGGTAGATGGCTAGACTAGATGCCCTTCATGGTTCCTTTTGGCAGACACCTGACATGAATGTGTGTCTCCTTGCAGGTCAGCCTCACCCTGCAAGAAATAATCAATGGTGTGAATGCCTCTGATCCAGATCTATGTTTCCAGGCCACCCAGGCAACCAGGTATCGCCAAACAGACTTCTGCTATTGACAGGTTCATAGCTAGAAATGAGCTCCGGCGGCCTATTTGGCTTCTTGGCAGTGGCAAAATGCCCACACAATATAAGAAAAGGCTAGTCTATCCAAAAGTGAGACTAAGTATCTCCTCTACACTGTCCTTGAGAAAATTTAAGATACACAAGTGTTGTCAGAGATGAATTGCTTAATTTAAATCGGCCGCTACAGGAATCTCAGTGATAGATAATACCTGAAGGGAAAACGTTGCTTCATCACTGCAAAGTGCTATAGGCTAAAGTCTAGGACATTAAGTGGCTCTGGTCAGCTGTTTGTCTCATGTGATAGTTAGGAATGCCAAGAACATCTAGAAAGGACGTTCTTAATACCTGATTCATGTGACTCGTGTTTTTTTCTTTTCTCTTTCATTGAAAAGGAAAATGCTATCCCGGGAAAGGAACCCTCCTGTAAACCTGATTGTTAAAGCAGGACTCATCCCCAGGCTGGTGGAGTTCCTGAAGGCATCACTTCACCCCTGCTTGCAGTGTGAGGCCGCCTGGGCACTGACCAACATTGCTTCAGGGACTTCAGAGCAGACTCGAGCTGTTGTGGAAGCCGGAGCCCTCCAGCCCTTGGTTGAGCTTCTGTCTTCCGCGCATATGATTGTGTCTGAACAGGCAGTGTGGGCCCTTGGTAATATAGCAGGTAAGACTCTCCTTTCAGGGGGCTAATAAAATAGTGGGCCAGGCACATGGCATGCGATGGGATTCCTTTAGTATTGTGAACTCCATACTTTAAGTCTAAGTGCCTAGAAATGCTGGGGAAAGTACAACAGGCTTTTCCGAAATTGAGTCAAGTTCAGAGGCCAAAAATTAAAGCTAAAACCAGATAATGCCACACGTACAGAAGCTGCAGGCTACCGAGGGACATCTGCCAATACCAGGTCCTACAGCCTCAGGTTTTGATGGCTTCAGGAACAAAGACAAGCCTTTGGCTCATGCAGGATGGGGATTTATGACAGACCCTTACATAACCAGGACCCTAAAAGAATTCTACCTCCAGTGAAAGTTGCCAAAGGAACATACAACAAGCGTTTCCTTACCTGTGGGTAAAGGTCTCCCCTGAAAATACCATCCTAAGATTGGCCTTATAGATTTGGGACTTGATGCTCTATTCCCTGCGTGGTCCAGGAAAGCCCGAGCTGGAGTGAGTGCTACAGGGTTGGCGGGTCCAGGATTCCTGGCTGAATATAAATAAAATGTTCTCTGGGGGAAACGAACTCAATTGGGCTTCTCAGGATTTTGACATTGTAAGATCAACCAAAGATAAGCGTTTTCAAGTTCAAAGAATCTACACCCCGCCAAGACTGAGTCAGCAGAAACAATCTGATTAAACCTCAAACTTCAGATATTGGGATTAGCAAACACAGAGTATAAAACCAGTCTGCCTTTTTAAGTGCTTGCAGAAATAGAGCATCGATTGCAAAGACTTTCTCTCATCTTGCTTGGTTCAGTAAGGAACCGGCAAAATTCCGTGGTATAATGTAAAAGCCTTCCCTGATGGCTGAAGAATCACAGACTGAGACTTCTAGGGCCTAAAATTGGTATGATAGCTGATGACAGCTCCTATCCATCTCCCAGGCTGTGTTCTGAGTTGCATTTGGAAGTGACTGTCCTGTGCTAAGATCTTCTGGGAAGACAGTTTAGTCTATAATGGCATTTGTCTTCCTGAGAACCACACTGTGACAGGCCAACAGCATTTAGCGCACTGCCTGGGCCCAGTCAGCTGGCTCCTTTATGCATCCACAGACTGCGCCATGGCCATTGCTGTTGTGTGGTGCCTGCTCATCACCTGCTCTTCACCTCAGGCCTATCCCCCAGTCCCCAGGTTGGAGACACTGGATCTCGTTCAGGAATATCCTGTCTACTTGCCCAACCCAGGAAGGAGTTTTGGCCTCTCACCCTTTACACACAGTTTTTAAAAACTAGTCACAGACCTCAGGATTCTCTTCGTTCCCTCTTTGAAGGTCATGTTCTTATCTATTCGTAGGTGATGGCCCAGAATTCAGAGACTTGGTTATTGCAAGCAACACCATCCCACATCTGCTGGCCCTGGTTTCATCAAACATACCGGTGAGCATCTTTAAATTAGAAAAACCTAGCTCGGTAGGAAGTTCCCAAAGTTGGGAAATTGGGGAAGTACTTCCAAATCCATTCGAGGCCATGTGGTTGCTGGCTGCCCCCTGTGATAGCAACTATAAACAAGTCCAAGGACTAACTATCACTTTGGATAGAAATTGATCCAAATGTGTCCTCAGCAGGCAGGAGCACTGATCTTTCTTTTGAGGGCATTGGAAGAAGTCCATGAAGGCTTTTCTAAGCTTACATTCCTGCAGAAGTAGATGACTAAGCTCTCCATTCAAGGGGCACAGACAGAATTGGTGGCTCACCAGTTCTTTTCTTAGGTAACAGGGTCTAGGTTTGAAGCTGAGAGTCAAAGTTGATTGATGTGGCAACAACAGAGGACTCCCTGGATTAGAAGTTCTAGCTTTGCCTCAAACAACAATGAAGAGAAGTTAGCTTCCAAAAGCCAAGGGAATACATACCCAGGCCTCAAGGTGGGAAAAGACCTACATGGTTAGACCCAGAAAAGGCTGGCATGACCACGGGTTTTGTAAGAGAGAGCAGTGTGAGATGGCACTTGGGCCAGGGGACTTGGCCATCATCCCGGTGGCACAGAGAAGCCTTTGAAGGATTTCAAGGCAGGCAGTGAAGTGGTCCAATCTTTCAGAAAGACGCTCTGGCTGCTTATTGTAGAGTGATAGCAGAGGGAGATGGTGAAGCTGATGGACCTGGGACACCACTGTACAAAACATACAAGGGAGACATAAAAAAGCAAGGATGCCCCAGATTCTGGTGGTTTTAGATAACTGTCCTCCTAGAGAAATGAGGACAAAGGAGGGAAGAAGGAATTAGAGGCTTAGTTGTCCATTTAAGTTGAAGTAAGTAAGAGACACCATGGCAGCAGCATCAGGTAGGTGGATATGCAGCTCTAAATAGTTGTGCACACGTGTGTCATTCAGCTGGTTAAGACCAACTAGAACAGGGGTCAGCAAACCCAACCTGGCCAGCTGCCTGCTTTTGTAAATAAAGCTTTATTGAGGCACGGCCATGCCCATTCATTGACATACATATTGTCTGTGGCTTTTGTAGCGTGACAATGGCAGAGTTGACTAGTAGTAATAGAGACCCTATGTGCCGGCAAAACTGAAAATGTTTACCATCTTGTCCTTTATAGAAAAGTTTGCCAACCCCTGACCTAGCTGGCGTGTGAGGAGAGCCCGGGACCAAGTCCTGGGGGCTCTGACATTCATAGGTCAGGCAGAGCCAGCCAAGAACACTGAGAAGAAGGTCCATTCAACAACAGACAACCAGGTTTGATGCCAAGAAGGGAATGGCTGGCTACTAAATACAACGGAGAGAGGCAGTAAATTTAGGGCGGGAAAGCAGCTGTGGAATTTGGTGACTTGGAAAGAGCTGATTTCATCACTAACTAAGAAGTAGGGGCAGAAACCAAAAGCATAGATGGGAAGCTACAAGGTAGGTAGTGACTATAGATGGCTCCTTGAGGAGGGACTCAGAAACAGAAGTGGGTGATGGCTGGAGAGGTGCCACAGGTCAGGGTTGAAGGTTGCAGAGTGTGTCTCTATACTGATGGGAGCAATCCAGGGGAGAGGTGGTCCTGGGGACAGAATCTTTAAAAGTGAAAAGTGATGAAATCCAGGGGCAGGCAGGGTAGGGAGGCTGATCCTCAAATAGAAGATCAGAAGTGTGGTTATGACGTGTTGGTTACAGACTGGTGGGAAGAACAAGTCACTCCTGCTCCATCTTTGATTTGCCAATGAAAAGTGATATGAGGTCATCAACAGAGTGGGGTGGGGAAGGACATTTTGAAGACTAAGGAAACCTCCATCAAACATTTGAGTAGAAAGCATAAAGCTCATCCTCGGCGTCCCTCATGTCCGTCACTACTGAGGACAAACTCCTGTTTGACACTCAAACGCAGTAATATTAATCAAAGCTGGCAAGGACACGCCACCGCATGCGTTGCATCTTTGCACCGATGCTGGAAGCAGTCTCTTGTTACAGATTACATTTCTGCGGAACGTCACATGGACCTTGTCCAACCTGTGCCGAAACAAGAACCCGTACCCTTGCCCAAAAGCTGTGAAGCAGATGCTGCCTATCCTCTTCCACCTCCTGCAGCACCAAGACAGCGAGGTTCTCTCTGACACCTGCTGGGCCCTGTCCTACCTCACCGAAGGCAGCAACGAGCGCATCGGCCAAGTGGTTGACACAGGCGTCCTGCCCAGGCTGGTTGAGCTCATGGCCAGCTCGGAACTCAACGTCTTGGTAAGTGTCCCAGGTCCCATCTGTCTCGGTATGGGCCTGCCGATAGAGTCAGGCATTGGTTTCACTGTAGCAAGGTCAGTCCTTTCCCCACCCCGGGTCTCCCACACTCAGCTCTAATCCTTTACGTTGAACAAAGCTTGTCATGTGCATTTCCCTGGTCTGCTACTCTTGAAGCCAAACAACTTGAATCTATTTTGATCTCAAACCCTATTGGGTCTTAAGTAACATACTTTTTCTTAATCTGATAACTAGAAAATACAGATTAAAATTGTGTATAATCCTTACACCCAGGCAACTATTATTTTGTGGCCTTTCCTTCTACTGGTCTATGCAAGTAGCTGTTAACAAGTTGGCTTATACAGGGCGCGCACGTGTGTGTGTGTGTGTGTGTGTGTGTGAATGTAAAGCTCATGTAACATTTGAGTTTATTACTAAAGTATGAAAGGAAATTCCCTCTTATCCTCTCCCCAGTTTGTTCTCTAAAACTACTTTGAATATAGGTGAAAAGTAAGTAAAAGCAATATCAAATAGTTTTGTACATTATGAAATATGTCACTTATAGAATATATTTCTTGAAAATGTAGTTTACAATGTGGATGCTGCTTTTGACTTCTATGCCTAATGCTGTACCTTATGCAGCCTTTGTGATCATCTAGTCTGAGAGTAACATAGTATTCCTCAGAGGTCAAGGTTAGTTTGAGGATAGTGCTGGTGTCATGGAGGGTATAAAGAAAACATCTATAAGAAGTTCCTTATTCTGGGGGTTTGGGGCCAAGTTGCCAGTCCTGTTATTGGCCTATAGCACCACTTCCACTTGTCAATGTGAGTAGCAGATACCCAGCATAATAGGCTAGGAAAAGTCTAAAACTGTCGATGGGATATGCTGGGCTGCCACTACAGTGCAGAGAAACCAAAATAAATCCAGTGAACCCTCCTAGGACAGTTGTCTTGAGCCCAGTTGCAGACCCCTCCTAGGGACCTTCAGAGTTATTGAGATGGGTGTTTGTGACAATACCAACAAATGCCATTGGGACCTCATTAGCTCCAATTAAAGTACAACAGAAACTTGACACTGGTGCTAGATATAAATTCAATCGACAGTATTACATTAGAAACACTACAATCAATTTTGTAGTTTTCCCAGTCTAAGGATGTAAAAGGGACCACGTCGTTTCTTGATAAAGGTATCCCTTGACTTCTAGTCCACTTGAGCCAGCACTATTGGGAGGCTGGCAAGTACCTCTAAGCTCTATAAACAGCCATCAATGTGCTGAATTAAGAAGGGGTGTGGATATAATCATTGCCATCAGCATAACATGACTCATGCTTGGGAGGGCACAGATCTTGGTGTGATTGTCACCTTCCACTGTGATAAATTTGCAATATTCTAGCCTTGTTCTTCCAGACCCCCTCTCTCGCCACTGTGGGGAACATCGTCACGGGAACAGACCTCCAGACACAGGTGGCCATCGATGCGGGCATCCTGAGTGTGCTGCCCCAACTTCTGAGGCACCCCAACTCCACCATCCAGAAGGAGGCAGCCTGGGCCCTGAGCAACGTGGCCGCAGGGCCCCACCAGCACATCCAGCAGCTGATTGCTTGCAATGTGCTGCCTCCCTTGGTGGCTCTGCTAAAAAATGTAAGTGGTACACTCAGTCCAACTGGCCCTGTATTGAACTCTTTCAGGAATTCAGACACAGGAGAAGAAGCAAACTAATTGAGATCACAACGATGCTATGAAACATTAGTTTCCTAACTCTCCCGAAAAAAGGGAGGGGGGTGGGCATCCCATTTTGAACAACCCATGAAAAATTTAGAAGACTAAACAAGCATTATTCAATGAAAAGGTGGCCCCACAGCTCAAATATCCAGAAAAATCTTGAGCTGGTAAATAGTAGCTTATCTCTGTGTAATGTTCAAAGAATGTGCCACCTACTCTTTACTTGCCAAAAGACGGAAAAGGTTCGTTTACTTTTACAACGAAAAACATATCTGGTTATGGTGATATAGTACACTGAAGAAAGGTGGCCTTTTCAGTATAAAAATCACATTGAATAAAGTGGTAATATACACAGAAAATCCAAATATGAAAGTAGAAATACAATAAAACTTCCTTCTTCCTCCTGATTGTCACTTCCCTCCCCCAGTACAATATCACCAGCATTTCTTCTTACCACCTTTTAAAGCTGTGCTTTCCTGCTAAGGTGTTTCTGCTCTGAGAGTGGATGGTGGGTTTCCAAGTTTTCATTAAGTATGAAAAGGCTAGGCCAGGTGTGAAACCCAAACCATAGCATCTTTCAATCTATTAGACCAGGGGTCGGCAAACTGCGGCTCGCGAGCCACATGCGACTCTTTGGGTACGTTCCATCTCAAAAGTCTGCTGACCCCGGGAAGGGCTAATCCTGTCCCTCACAACAATTTATAAATTATTTGAGAGCCATAAATGTATTTTTACATAATCATCATTATGTGAATAATATCCTTTAAGATTTTTATAAATGAAACTATGATAGTTTTATTTTCATTTTCAATTTTACTTCAGAGCCACATGTACGTAGCCAAAGAGCTGCATGTGGCTCGCGAGCCAGAGTTGGCTAACCCCTGGCGGCTCTTCCATCTCAAAAGTTTGCCGACCCCTGGATTAGACGCTTCCTATCCTGTGTTCTACCGTGAGTCTGTGCATATTCTAATCAGAAGCATCCAGTCATGAATCAAGAAGTAATCTCTTTTCAAACTCTGCCGTTTGAACTATAACTTGCTTGGAGCCGTAAGTTGTTTGGTTTTTTATTTTTGCCTTAAATTGAGGTCACAGTTTTCCCAGGCCACAAAATGGGAACAACTCCTTCTCCCAGGGATAGAAAGACCCATGATAAATTACTCCCATATCTCTGGACCATGTGCTTTTCATAAATGCAAGGGATGCATTGAGTGATATGTCAGTGGTCTTCTGGCACATCTGGGCTGGCTCAGTCCCCAATATCACATCTGTGTGCTCAGCTTTGTAACTATGGAACTTCTTGCCCAAAGTTTTACTGGACAGAAAGCCTAGAAATGTAGACATAGGCTAGAATCTAAAATTCCAAGCATAATTCCTAATCTATATTAATTACCTGGATTAGTATATATTGGTCCTATTTTTCCCATAAACTGACTTAAGGAAATGAATCTGTTTGAACTTAGAAACTCCCTCTAAAACCCCATATGAGTCTGCCTGCCTCTTTCTTGGCTTCTCAGAGATGCTGTCTTCTGCTGCAGAGCTAGAGGCAAGTTGCCAGGGTGTTTTGTGTAAATCGCATGTACAGTTCTGACTGTCACCAGCCTACCTAGAAACGGAACCAAGTTAGTATCACTATATTTAAGTTCTTCAGGATCTGTAAGGAATGTACATGTTCTCTTTCTGCAGGGAGATTTTAAAGTCCAGAAAGAGGCTGTCTGGATAGTGGCTAACTTCACAACTGGGGGCACCGTGGACCAGCTGATCCAGCTCATCCACTCTGGAGTCTTGGAGCCACTGGTGAACCTGCTCACCATCCAAGACACCAAAATTATCATCATCATCCTGGACATCATCAATTTTCTCCTCCAGGTGAGCTTTTCTGAACAGGTTGGTTTCTAAACAGCAGTCTCCAAACTTAAGACATTTAAGGTGGTTCTTAAAGCCCAAGTAAGAGTCCTTTTCCTGGCCACCCCCTTATTCCCTCCCTCTGTCCAGATGTTTTATGGAAAATAACAAGAGACCTTTCAAAGAAGGTCCATTATCTTCATGTTCTCAAATGAGCATCTCTATGCCCAGCACTATTTTAGATGCTCAGTGTATGACAGAGCAAAGTCCTTGATCTCACTGAGCTTATGTAGTGGTAGGGAGGAGAGCAGGCACATTAGGTGGGGAGTTATGGGTAAATATAGCTGATAAAGAGGCAGTCACTGATGGCTTGGAGTGGGGAGGGAATCTCTAATATGCAATAGTTAGGAGAAACTTCTCTGAGGACTAACATGTGAGCAAAGACCTCAAAGAAGTGTGTGAGTCATGTGGCTATCTGGGGAAGAACATTCTAGGTGAAAAGAAGAGCAAAGGGGAGGGTGGCCAGAGCAGAGCAAAGGGATGGAGTAGAAGGTAGTGGGAGATCAGACTCAGGGCACCCAGGGGCCAGATCACATAAGATTCATGAGAACTCTGACTGACTCCAAGTGAGATGGAGAAACCAATCGATGGTTTGAAGCAGGAAACAAATAGTTATCCACATGGCAGGCTCTAGTGGGCTTAAAACACACACATATTATCTCGCATAGTTTCCAGGGTTAGGAGCCACTTAGCTGGATGGTTCTGGCTCAGGGTCTCTCACGAGGTCCAAAATGTCACTTGGGGCTTCAGTCTCATCAGAACACTTGGTGGAGGCTCAGGGTCAGCTTCCAAGATGACTTACTGACGTGCCTGGGAAGTTATTCTCACCACACAAACCTCTCCATAGGATGCTTGAGTGTCCTCCCATCGTGGCAGCTGGCTTCCCCTGGAGCATGTAATCTAAGAAAGCAGGTGGAAGCCCCTCTGTCTTTTAGGATCTATAAAGGGGTTCATTTCAACAACACCCTGTTGGTTACACAGATCAGCCCGAACCTATGTAAGGGTGTGAATAAGAGGAGGCAGGGATCATCTGGGACCATCTTGGTTAAGGTCCTTTTGAAAAGTTTCAAAGTAACACCAGGGAACTCCTTTTGAAAGCTCATCTTAAGCACCCTTTTCATGTAACTGTCTTGAAAAGAACAGACCTAAGTCAAGAACAGATTTGAAACACAGCCCAATTAGACACTGAGACTTCGAGCCAATCACACAGAGAGGACTTGGCAGCCAGTAGACCAAGTTGGACATAACACATTTGTGAAAGCACACTTGTGCTTTCATCTGCTTCATTTAAATTAAACACTTGGGATTTTTCCTTGGGAGAGTCTAGGCAAATCCCACCTGATGGACCAGTGAAGCCCCTGGATCAGAGACAGTAGGTTAGAAAGATCTAGATAAGGCAGGAGAAAGCTTCAAATGGGCAGCAGAGGGCAGTTGACATTCTCTGAAGTAACTTTGGGGCCATCTGCTATTAGGGTCCGAAATCCTTCTCCAGGGCTCCTGCTGCCCTCCACAGTCCAGATGTCTTTCTGAGGCTAACCTAGCATATTGATTCCTTTCCTAGTTTCTTCACTCAAATACGGTAACTCATTTTGGACCCACAGATAAGATGAGAGGGTATCAAGGCTTTGACAGACCCTCATCGGGTAAAAAACATGGCTCAAAGGATGTTGCATTTGATCCACAGGTTTTTTATTGCTGCTCACAAAATAGCGAGCAGAGCTTTTCCGGGCATGACAGCAAAATTTGTTCTTTATCTCTCTCTACAACTGAACTACTCCCTTGTCTCATAACACACAGCAACTTACTGCTTCAAAATTTTGTCCTCGCCATTCCTTCTTTTGGGAATGTCATTCTTCTGTGATGGGCTTGGCACAGTATTGTCCATTATAAGGCCTTGTATTACAGCCTGAGCCTTTTGTGTACATCTTCTGTAACTTAAACCTCTGACCGTTTATTATACTTTCTACACCGTAGAAATTATTTACCTGTCTCCCCAATAGTACGGGTTATGAAAGGCCTTCTTTAAATTACATGGGCATCTCCAGTGTGGGTGCCTTGCCCATGGTATATGGACACATGTTGGAGTGGATGAATAGCCCTGGATGACAAATCCTCGCAAGTTATTTGTTTCCAGGGACTTCATTATTTGTAATGGTGGAATTACAGGGGCCTCTTGTCCCATCTCTCAAGGCTTTCAGGGAGTATAGAGCCAAAACACCTGCATTTACCTAGCTTTACTTGAACATTCTTTCAAACTTATTTAAAACAATTTCCATTAATTAGACAGGGGATATCTACTAAATAGCGATAGAGGTACATTTATGGATGGCAGCATATCCAGCAAAAGAAATAGCATATGTTGTGCTGTGAAGAGAAACCTAAGTATATATAACACAAATACCCAAAGTGGGAAGACGACCCGACCGTGCAGTTTTCAATCAATTTGGGAAAAGCGAAACCTTGACTGCCCATTCTGGAACGGGAGCCTTGGTCTGATTCCACCAGAGAAGCTGTCCCGCCTCAGGCTTTTGCTCAGAGTCTCACTCCCTCTCATCCCATCACCCCCAGGCAGCAGAGAAGCATTTGGAGAAGGAAAACCTGTGTCTTCTGATAGAAGAACTTGGTGGGGTTGATAGAATCGAGGCTTTACAACTTCACGAGAACCATCAGGTTGCCCTGACTGCTTTAAACATTATCGAGAACCACTTTTGTGAGGTAGGTGACTTCCGAGTGTAAGATATTTCAGGTGCCTGTGCTGCCACTGCAGGGCGAGTGACAGGACAGGCCGGCTTCTCACGCCTGAGCTGAGCTCCTCCCCAAGCCATGCTGTACTGGCCTCCTTGGAGTGGCAGCTCCTGGCTCCTGGAAACTGTTCTCGTCCCATAGGAGTCTGTCCTGTTGCCTCTGGTTTTGAATTTCACTCTTGTTTTCCTACTTGCCAAATTTTGGGGGAGGGGAGCAGGATGGGAGGGGATGTGATGCTAAAGTGACTTGTTATTGAAAAATTCAAACTAAGGCAGGCCAGCTTTTGAAATACCATTTTGCTATTTACCGCCTTTTGTTTCTTTCCGGATGTTTGGGGATGAAGTCTACAAAAGGCTTCTAAGCTTTCTGCAGGAGCAGGGAATAATGATCAGATAACAGACATTTTAAAAATTGTTTTTATTATGGTAAAATATGCATAACAAAATTTACAATTTAAACAATTTTTAAATGTACAGTTTAGTGGCAATAAGTACCTTTACACTGCTGTGCAGCTATCGCTACTGTCCATCTCAGAACTTTTTCATCTTTCCAAACCAAAACTCTGTCCCCATTAAACACTAACTCCCCAAACCCCCTCTTCTAGCCCCTGGGAACCACCATTTTACTTCCTGTCTCTGTAAATTTAACTACTATAAGTACTTCATTTAAGTGGAATCATTAGTATTTTTCCTTTTGTGACTGGCTTATTTCACTTAGCACGGAGGAACCTTGAAGACATTATGCTATAGTATATGTCAGAATGTCTTCCCTTTCTAAGGCTGAATAATATTCCATTGTATGGATAGACCACACTTTGTTTATCCATTCATCCACTGATGGACACTTGGGTTGTTTCTACCTTTTGGCCATTGTAAATAATGTTGCTATGAGCGTGGTAGTACAAGTATCTGTTCAAGCTCCTGCTTTCAGTTTTTGGGGGTATAAACTCAGCAGTGGAATTGCTGGATCATATGGTAATTCTATTTCTAAAATATGATGAGCCTCCATACTGTTATCCATAGTGGCTACACCATTTACATTTCCAACAGCAATGCACAAGGGTTTCCATTTCTCAGAATTCTTACCAGTACTTGTTTTTTATTTATTTATTTATTTTATTATTATTTTTAAAGATTTTTATTGGGGAATTGGGGAGATGGGAACAGACAAGTTGCTGTCGTTTTGTTCTTCAGTCTAGTTGTGGAGGACGTTGCTTCACTGGCCCAAGTTGGCACCCTCATTGCGCTTTTCCTGGGCGAGGCAGATCAGTCGCTGGCATCTGGACGGCCGCTCACTGCAGCTGCTGGCCACTCACGCTGGCTGCTGGCTACATACGGTAGCCCATGGCAACCCACTGCCACAGGGGCTGCAGCCTACACCTTCGCCAGTGACTCACGGCCACCCAGCTCCAAGTTGAGCTGTTATTCAGCATCTTAGCTGTGGAGGGCAGTGTCACTGGCCCTCATATGTGGGATCCGAACCGG